GAAACCTCGAAACCTCGAAAGCTCGGCCTCGAAACCTCGAAACCTCGAAACCTCGGGAGGATTCCATTGTCAGGTCTGTTCTGACACACACACACACTCACACTCTAGTGCACTGCATCGGTATTGTTTTTTGGCTCGAACGCCGCTCTCTTAGAAAGCCATAGGCATGGCGAGCGCTTCAATGTGAGCACGGCGGGAGCAGAAAGTCCATCGATCCTTCGTCCGGACGACTCCAGCCACGCTGCAAATTCTTTGTTCCTCCGCAGTGGAGGCCCAGGTCGCTGGATGGTGTTGAAAGCCACTGTGAAACTCTCCCAAGATCAAGGCCTCCTGCTGGCCCTTGCTGATCTTGAGCTCCTTGTTCACAACAACCTCCGCGTTGGAGCGGTTGAGCGCTCCCTGCGTGCCCTGGCAGTAAAATCCCACTGTCCACTGGCGTGACCCCCTCCTGATCTTCGGCTGAGGGGCGAAGTAGCTGTTCCCTCAAAATGAAGGTTGCGCACTCCTCATTGGCGCCATGGCAAAAAACATGATAGTATAGAGGTTTCCTCTGCGTTCATTCGGCTCGTAGCCGAATGGTGCAGGCTCATGGGTCGTCAAGGGAATACACAAGCATCTGTAGGCCCTGCCAATGGTAAGAATCTCGGTGCCCATGATGTCGATGTTCGGGGCTAGGCCCGAACCATGCAAGATTCAAGGGGAATGCGCTCTCCAAATCCAGCAACTGTGCTTGCAAGATCATCCCATCTCATCTTGCTCATATATGAGTGGCCGAACCCGCTCGTCCGGCAGCAGGCTGTGTGTGGACGAGCAATGAGATCTGGCGACACGGCCAGAGCATGGGAAAGCCACCCTCTCTGGTCATTGTTGCCGGCCACCGAGCTTCTCGGTGATCGTCTGTCATCTCTGGCCTCTTGGTCCCGGCATCTTGTTCTTCATGTTGCGGGGCTTCACCAAGTACTCCCTGATTGCCACGTCCAAAGCGGCTATCTCCGGATGTTTTGCCCCGACGGGCGGGCTTGCCCTTGACTCCTTTACCAGACCTTCTTTGAGGGTCTTTGCCACGACCTTGTAATAGCCTTTGGAGTGCCCTTTTTACAGCGGCGGGGTCTTTTGTTGGGATTTCCCCAATGTGCTCCCTTGGACTGGTAGAGGGCCGTATTGGAAGTTCAGTTTTGTCGACGAGATGCTTCTCGACGTGCAGGAGGAGGTGTTGGCAGCCTGAGGACTGGGGAGTCTACTTTCCTGGATCTGTGGGGCCGGCTGTCTGAGGATATATTCCGACCCCGATCGCCCCTTCTCCGTTTGCAGAAGGGTCTTTCGCGGCGGCCGCGAGAGTGATGATGCCCACGGCGTCGAGGACTTGTTGGTTCACGTGTAGGGCTTCTGCCGTAGTCTCGGCGCCGGTGGCGGGCCAACAGGGGAGCAATTGCATGAACCTGTTCATCACGAGAAAGGCCTCGGATTGCAGGAAGGCATGAAACGTGTGCAACGCCGACGCATGACCAAGGGATTCGGCAGGCGCGTTCAATTACATTTTTCCGGGCTGCGCGCGCTGAAGTCATCGTGGCAGCCCAGTTGGCCTCCTGGCCCCTCCGCTGCAGTACGTCGCTGCTAAGGTCCGGCAGGTTCAAAACTTGCTCGGCGCAGCACATAGGGCTCCTTCAGAGCTACGCTGGCAGCCACCATCTTCAGCCCCATTGCAGCATGGAGGTGGGGTTTTGGGGGCAAGCGCAAACAGAGGCCCGTAGTTCTTGTCAGGCAGTCGACGGCTCGGAAGCTAAGGGGGATCGCAATAGCTGTGAGCCCAGAAGCCTCGGATCTGTGGGGTGTTTGGACACATGGTCGCGCCATCTGGGATGCGACGGCTAGTAGGCTAGCACCGAGCTAAAGCCTAAAGCGGCGCAAAAGCTGCGCGATGCCTGGCGGAGGCGGCGGCTGCCAGGGTGGCCAGGGCCAGCCAAGGGCTTGCTTGCCAGCAGGAAGGACTGCGACGCACTGCGTCTCGATCCTGCGGCTGGGACGCCGGCAGAGGGGATTCGAGGGCAGTGTTTCTCTTGCGGCAGCGCGGTTTCCCCGCACACTAAGAAGATACACTACACTAAGCACGTGGGCAGCGCGCTGCACACGCGCATCTTGGGACGGTAGACATGCCGCCTTCCGCCTTATAACCCTGAGTTTAGGATGGAGTGGCGTGCTAGAACCAGACCATTGTCTTGTCTCATCTGCGCCGCATGCCAGCTATCCGGAAGGCTGACGTAATGGAGTGCCCCAAGCGACCGCCCTGGGCTAACGGGTAAACGGGTAAGGGCTGGGTTCGGGAGGCAGGCTGGGCTGGGTTGGGGAAGGCTGGGTATGCGCCTGCCGTTTGCTGGCTCGGTCAGTAGCCTTCTGCTTTTGCTTCTGGCTGACAGGACCGCGTCTGCGCATTTGGTCTGTACTGAGAACTCAGAACCGCATCGCTATCCCGTCTCAGGATGCTATTTGACTAACCCCGCCCTCTATTTGATGACTTCCCCGGGCGCCAACGCCCATGTCGCAACGTTTGTCCCTGATGACGTGTCCTTGCCCCCCTTCAACTTTAAGTCCAACACTTGTTTTTTGGGGCATGCCAACATTGCACATCTGTGTACATCTCGTCCTGCACGTCCCGCATTTCCCACTCTCGCAACCTGGCGGCCCGGAGCATCTCGTAATCATGGGCCCCCATCCGCCGAAGTGCCCATGCCCTTCTTGATTGTCACCTCAACTCACTAGGCTGTCCTCATTCTGCAGGATCTCCGGCTCAGGTTTACCAGCAGGCTTACGTAGAATATGACGTCCGATGTCCCTCCTGGTTGCAACGGCCAAGTCGATATGATCATGCTCCACAGCCAGTTCAGATTCCAGGAACTACTGTAAATCCTGGCGCACCTCATTCTCTTTGCTTCGCACGGACCTTGTTTGGTAACTTGGGTTTGGTTCCCTGGGTATCGTGTTTCTTGATTGGGTCCTAAAACTTGTCCAAACTTGCGTGTCCTGTTGAAAACATGCTTCTCAGTGAACACTTCCGTCATGCTGACATGGCCAACTTGTGTTGACGCAAGACTTGTTGGCCTTGGTGGAATGAAGGACTTTGATGTGCAGCTTAGGAAAACTTAAGTGATCCTGTGTTGTTGACTTCAGCAGACCTCGTTGACTTTTCATGCTGCTTCAGCAGCAGGAAGAGGAGGCGCAGCGGCAAAAAGAACGGCAGGCTTTGAGAGTCTAAATCTGTAGCGGTTGCTTGGCCTTGGCGTTGCTGCGAGACCAAGACAGCTGGACCAGCTTAACTTCCTACATTGTTGACAAGATCTTAGACTGCATCGAAGCGGCTGTAAGGAATGCCGGCGGGCCGAGAGCGGAGCTTACCTCACGCAGACACGCTGCGGGAAACAGATTCCCCGTCGTTCTTTTTAAGCTCTATCAATACGATTTTTGGGATTCAGAATAAGAAGCTGGAAGCCTGGCTTCGGAGTTAAACGTCAACCTGCAATACGGCCATCATTCTCCAGCCCAAGGTACTTGGACAACCAAGCCCATGGCAGACTGCAGCATCCCTTGCTTTTCAGGAGAGGCAGCCTCACCAAGCTTCTTGGTATCTCTCCAGGTCCGAGGGCTTAAGAATCCCTGCGTGCTTAGCAAGGGGTCTTCGTAATTTGTTTTAGCAATGTTGACCAGCATGTCCGCTAGAGTAAAAGGGGGGTTTCCAATTTTGGGTGCAGGCAGGGAAGGTCCTGCCTTGCCGCAAATGCCAATGATGACGCAATTGGACATGCTCAAGGTCCCTCGCAGGAGAAAGCTGTTCAGGTTGACCTGGAGGTTTTCCAAAGAACGAATCAAGAAATCACAGCTTTTCCCAACAAACTCAACGGACGACACAAAAGAGCATCAGGCATTGTCCTTTGCAAACCTTATATGACAGTCGTTCTGATGAAGGATCCGGTACTGGGCTGCTAGGAAAACGGGGCCTAAAGATACAGAAACCTTCTGGCGGTGGCGATGTTAGCAGGCTTTTGGCGGGCACCCATATGCTGATAATTTGCTACAGTATCTTACCTGCCAGCGCTCAGTCGACATCATGAGAGCCAGGTTAGACACAACAGCTGCAGCCGTGCTCGCTGCAATGATGCCCACTTGTCCTTACTCCGGAACAAGGCATTGCGACGAGGGCACACAACACCCTTTTTCATGGAGAGTGCTTCACCTTAAGCTTGACGTCGTCTTAAGCAACAATCTTCTGTAATAGACGCGCAAAAAGGGTACTGATTCCAACCTAGTGTCCTAAATGCGGCCACAGTGTCACCACTCCCACTGTAAGCCAAAGCATCTGAGAAGCCTGCTCCAGCATGCCGTTGACATACGTCTCGTGGCGGGACCACGCAAGTCGCTGCTGCAAAAACTGGTTTGCCAAGGTATAGAAGCCTGTATAGTGGAAGGAATCGAAGATTCCCAGGGCCGTGAGCTTCTCGACCAGAGGACTTTGGAAAAGTACCCGCAGTGCAGCCGTTGGAAAAAGGCTGGACCAAGTAAACTTGACCCTCTTCTCCTCAGGCAAGGATTCCGGTAAGCAAAATATAGCGAGGAGCAGACAGGTCATCTTGCCCAGCATGCCCAGAAGCATAGCGCTCTGCAGGCTCAGCATACTGCCAAAGAGTGATCCCAAAATTGAAGCAAGAATGCAGGAGCTCTCCACCATGGATGTGGCAATGACCAAACTTGGGGTATGGTCAATTCGGTCCATATACCAAGCAATGGGAATGGGCTCGTAGGGAACCATGCCAATGAATTGAACCGCAAAATCTAACCAAATGGAGAGGTCGAACCATGCAACAGCTGCTGCTGCGACGGTGGGAAGAAGCAAGGCAACTCGAATACAGAGGACTGCAGGTCGCCTACCAAAAGCGTCGCTGATGGCACCAAGTGCTGGCCCGGTACAGAATTGAATCACCGGGTGAGCGAAACCTTTCGCAATTTTCAACTGCATAACATCCATCACAGCTTGGGTGCACGCTGAGGATTCCATCTGGCTTGAGCAATCGACATGAGAACTGCTGGAGTACCGCTGAGCAAAAGAATTCAAATACATGTAATCCAAACTTGGCGAAGAGGCGCCATATGCAAAAATTGACAAGGCATGGATGGCCCACATCGGGGCCACTCGCGAGATGATGTATGAGAAGCTTCGTGGACTGTTATCTTCTTCCGACGCTTCCTTGAGAAACTCCGCTTGCTTTCCACGGTGCCGCCTCACCAGAAACCTGGCTCATGCTTTAGAACCCGTTTGAACATGTTTGAACCATACTTTGATAAGTGACTTCCTCCAGAACCTTATCCTGAAGATCAAGCAGGAGACTGCGCGACACAAAATGCAAACGCGTGAGGCAGCAGAATCGATGTGAAGATAGGCACGAAGTGATGCTCGGCTTGCTCCAGGATGCTCCTGATCTTAATGAAGGCTAGTGGATGCCGTTTGCCAGCGTGCTTTTCAGTCTCTACTCAAGTTTCATTGTGGGGCTGTTTGATTTGACTCCTAAACAGGGGCCACCCGCATCAAGGGGATAGTACAAGCACGCCAGAAATGGCAGGAAACAACTTCTAACTGTCACCGATTGACAGCGGGCACTCAGCAGCTCAATTACTACAGTAACATATTCCTGGGATCGCCGGTCCCGTATCATAATGCCCGAAACTCTGAGTCTAAGTCCTAGCGCCGAGTTTCAGAGTCAGAGACTGCCGCTTTGGAGGCGGCAAAGGTGGTGGAGACGGGAGAGCGACATCATCTGAGGTCCTCCCCAGCTTGGTTTCCACCTGGAAGAGCTTTAGATTTTGGAATACTGTGATGGGACTCACCACAAAAGCGTTGCGACGCCGCGCGACGCCCACAGAAGGCTGTGAGCTTCCGTTTGGCCAGATGAGAGGGTTTGGAATCAAAGCCTATGCTCCAAGATTTGCCAATCCTAACCTTCAGACACCAAACAGTTGAGCGGCGCAGACCCATAATTCTTCACCCTATGCTGAACGAGATACAACTGCNNCCCCCCCCCCCCCCCCCCGCTTCAGGGCTCCCATTCCTCGAACCTGCAACAGCTTGACTTGGATGGTCTCCTCCAGATGTCCAGATGTCCCGTCTGCGAAGCCTTCTTCGGGCCCTATGGAGATGCAGTCAGATTGCCAGCTCTGGGAAGTCGGAATGGCCCCATGTGAAGATACGGTTGCTAGGCACAGGAAACACCGAAGGAGAGCCATGCAAGGGTTCCACGACTACCACTTCTTCTCGGTGTGCTTGAGCCATAGCCTTGGAGGTCCGCATTCTTCCGGGCAAGCGTGCAGAACCTTACGGAAGCCATCTGCAAGCACCCAGCACTGCAACAAACGGACCTCGCCTCGCATGCTGTTACTACAGCCCAGACTTCATCAGGCTACAGCATCGATGTAGATGAGAGCAGGACTGTGCCTGCCCTGGTGCTTCGAAGGGGTGTGCGCTCGGCAGAACCCTGTGAGGAGGCTGCTCTGTTTCGAGAATCACAAATCTTGGACACATTGCGGCAGCCGAATTGAAGTTCGTAGTACAGCTGTCAAAGTAGGGGCTGAAGTTGCGTACCAACCGCAAGTAAAAGTTGGAATCACAGCGGGTCAACACCCCAAAGCCCTGGAAAAAAACGCTATGCACAAGAATAGACCACCACAAACAAGCACCCAAATCAAAGCAATCCAGATCCTTATGAGAACACGTTTCAGCGCGCTGATCCTTCTACATCCATACTTGGGGAGCGCTGAAATGCAAGACCAAGCAAAATGGGCAATAGTCCTAATCGGTATGTACAGAGCAGTACTTTCGAAATAGCTAAAGGTTGGTTGCGTTTCATAGCTGTACCTCAGGAAAAGCAGCAACAGCATCAGCAGCAACGGCATCAGCAGCGCAGCGGCCACAGCAACAGCAACACCAGCACCTGCACCAGAACCACCAGCAACACCAGCAGCACTCCCATGGACTAGCACTCAACTTCTGCTCGCGCCTCCCCTACTCCTAGTTGCTGCGGAGATGGCAATAAGACCGAAAACCTCAGACTTGAACGATGATGCTAACGATGACAGTGCACATGATTACAATCAATTTGTGGCTCAGGTGATTGCTTGGTGACTACATTACATAGGGTTCCCGGTATATGATATATGTCAACAATTCATTTCAAGCCTACTTAGTGCATGCTCATGCGTCCATGCAACTACCCAGTACACAATGGATGCAATTGCAATAGCAGCAGGAGCATAACCGCCAAGAGATCACCTTGTCTGAACCGAATCCATACGATCACGCCTATGCATTGATCATGAAGATATAGCAGTGTGATCAGAGTTGCATGTGCGCTTATGGCCATGCCATCGACGGTAAGGCCAAAAGTGACGACGTCGACAATCATCAATACCAACACCTCCCTCGGTCCCTCACCCTCCCACCCTGCGCGTCTCCTTTTGCCAAAACGTGCACTCGCTCGCACACAATCTCTCGTCGCCAAGCGATGCTACATATGCGGACAGCCGCTCAGGGTTCAGCGGGGAGCATGACCTGGGGCTGAAGATGCTGGGGTCAAGGATGGTCGAGGGCATAACTTTCACAGGTTTGACCGCACTGAAATCTCGGGTTGCTTTTGGACAAAGGGAAAAGCCAAGAGCGCGACTGTGTGCTATACATCGAGGCAATCACAGATTTGAAAGCAGGACCCCATCAGGACCACACAGTTACTCCAGGACACACATGGACTTACACAGAATCCAAAAAGAAGGCTTAGCAGCATAAGGCGTAGGTGCGGCTTCTGGGGCGGACTTGTCCTTCGGCTCCTCCTGCAGCCCCATGCTGGGATGGACCAGGGACTGCCCTTTCCAGCTTGGATATGGGCTTGGCTTGAGGAATCTGTTTGAAATGTGAGACAGAAGCATTGGAGTAGCATTGGACTCGCGGTCCAGCCAGTAGCATACCAACTATCACAGTAGAGCGTGGCTTACATTTTCTCCATTGTAGGCGGTCGCCAGCAGGTTGCACGCAGATTTTTGGGAACTAAGCCAAAGCCCGTGGCTAAGAATCACAAAAGCTTCCTCCAGCGCGCCTCGTGATTGCCGTGTCGGTCCCCAACATCCAGCAAAGAAGGCAAATCCTGAAACTCTGAAAACCCCCTCCTCCTGGACGTCTTGTGGCTCACGGGCGAAGGCCTTGGAACCTCGAGCATAAGCAGCGTAGACCCCACCAAAAATCGCCGTGGCAAAGCCCAAGTAGAACCAGAACCTGCAGTCTTCATGTCCGAAGATTGCATGCAATCCAGCTTGCATGTGGGATTCGTCATCAGCAAAGGTACTGCCAGAATTTATTGCTTTTTTTTGATCTCTATCTTGTTGCCACCAGGCTGTGATTGGAGACAGCAACCAGACTCACTCACTCTCACTCACTCTCAGACCCTGCAAACACTCCATCAGATTTGGGTGGCTGCTTCTGTTTCCTGCATATTTGAGAGCTGTGTCTGTGCTTTGGTGCAACAACAGCCTCCCAATAGTCCAACTGTCAGAGATGCCATTGTTCCCGACCACTTGGTCACAAGAGAGAGTGAGAGAGAGAGTGAGAGAGAGTGAGTGAGTGAGTGAGTGAGTGAGTGAGTGAGTGGGCAACTGCCCATCTTCCTCCAGCAATTGGGCCAGTTTACCCACCCCGCCCCTTCTCCCCTGAATGTGCCCCTATCTCAATGCAAAGAAGCGGTTACACTCAGCCAGGGTCCACGCCTTCCGTTGGCTGGACCGGGTGTTTCTTGTTACTCCTGCACCGATGCCTGTCTTAGCTGTGACAGCCGCGCAAGCAGTCGACAACTTCGAGGCCGGAGGAAAAATCAAGTCTTTGCAACCCCAAGTGACAAGCTCCTCACCTGCTTCGCACAAGCCAGCAGGCTGGACTTGAAGAAAATTCCACCACGCTCTGAAGCCAACCGCCAACTGCTCTACGCACAGCGCCGCTGTGTGGCAGCACGCGCTTGCATCTTTACGCATGTCTGCCATCTTCTGAAATGCAATCCGGTGACATGTTGAACGCGTGGTACGTGAGGCCCTCCTGCAAAGGGAAGGGAGCTACAGTTCTACAGGAAGGACAGCACGGCCCTAACCTGCGCGAAGACCAACTTCATGGCAAAGTGCCCTCAAGTTTTGAACTTACACCAGAGCGGTCATATTAGAGCAATTCCAAGAGCAATTCCCAATCTGACTACATTGGATCATTTCGGTTTTGGGATTTCTGGGTCCACTTCAGGTCCTGACTTGCCAAATGTTCCGAGACCCATCCATGCCAGCGTATTGCTGCCCGTGCCAGGGAATCTTGATCCGGGACAATTGCCCATATTGTTTTAGATCCTAGCCTTCAATAATGTATCTACTGCCACGGATGCATTAAAAATGAATACAATGAACCACTTCAATTGCCTGTGCTTCTTGAGAATCTCCAAGGTGGCCAAGCGAAAAGATCCAAACCCTCACGCCGGATGGCCTTCACATGTTTTCATGCCTATAACAGACTGAATATGAGTTCCTGCCTGGAAGTGCGTGTCGGGGCCGTTCCAGCCGAAGAGCAATCCCATTAGCCAGAACGCAGCAGCGGCAATAACAAAGAAGGCCCCAAGGGAGACCTCGACTGTCTCAGCCAAGTAGGAGGCATTGCGTGAAATGGGTTTGGGTGTCTTGTTGAGAGAATGGGGAGGACCTCGGGAGTTCTTCTACTCTGCACTATACTGCGCTCTTCAAGAAGCAAACACACCCCGGCCCTTCCAGCCCTGTACACACAATTTCCGCTGCCAAGAGCACCATGGTCTCGCCGCACTTGCAGCCGCATTGCTCGTCGTTGCCTCGGCGGCTCAAGCACGGACGGGCCTGTTCGGGCAACAGGTTTGTCGAGGCCTTCGGCCATTTGCCAGCATCATCAAACGGAATAGCATCCATGTTTGTGACCGGCTTTTTGCGAAACTATGGAGACAGGACATGGAGGACTCAGTAGCTCCACACAGCATGAAATTGACCGTCTGCAATTTACGGAGCCAACCACAGCGTACAAAGACCGACCTAGCACCGGTACCAGGGACCTCCCAAGCACATGCCACTCATGCCATGGCCCAACACAGCTGAGAATGCAGTACAATGAGTGGTCACACCTTGGCAGAAGTTCGTCACAGCTGAGACGAGACTAAAGAACGAAAGCTGCAGACACCTGCAGCGTCTTCCGACCACGCAGCGTGAAGTGTCGACTGCAGCGAAAGCATCCGGAGCGGAACTCTCCATGCCAGAGAAACATGATTATGTGGAAAAGTAAATAGCATGCTTATTTAAGCCGGGGTCCAGGATCTGCGTCAACCTCTGACAGCTATGGTGCTATAATTACTATAGCTTCGGAAGGAACACGCAGTTGATGGAACCTCATGAACGCGAGTCACCACATATGTGATATGTCTATACTGTACGCAACAAGCTTCAGCTCAGTGACACTCCGTTGGGCAGCAGCAGTCCCCGCATGTGACGGCCATGGCTGTCTTCTTCCGGCTTTCAAAGCGGATTGGATGACCTTGGCTGTCCTTCAACCTGAGCCGATACGCTTTGGACGGATGGAAGCTGTCATCTTAACAAGTACATGTGTAGCAACACCTCGACACCATGTTCACATCAGGCTCCTGCAGACTTTCCTCTCGCAACACTAGTTGGGCGTTGGTCTGTGCCAAACTGCTCACATCTCATCCGACCAGCTCGCACACCTTCTTGAAAGCTGTGCTCAGCTACTGAAGTGCAAAAATGGGCTGGACAGGACATCTCCAAGGGATGCTAGCCAGGTCCATCTGCTTGCAGTTTGTAGAGGTGGCAAAGGACTTCCAGCAGGTCTTTCAATAAAACACTGCAGCAAGTTTGGGCGATGGGTGGTGCAATGAAAACAGGTCGCAGCTGAATAAAGTTCACGTCAACCTGAATGGATTGACTCCCTTTCACAATAGAATCCATTGTGCATGTTATTTCTTGCTTCGCTACCGCAAAGGCATGAACGTCCCATTTCCATACACTAATCTTCCCTGGATGCTTGCTGAGAAAAATGCGCTCCAAGATGTTGCTCAACCTACATGTAGTCCCTTGAATGTCTTTCCATACATTTAATTTGCGCTGGCGCAACGGAATAGACAGCTGTGGTCTATGTAACTTTCACCACGTCTCCTGAACGCTCATCTATCTTAGTCTGAGCACAACGCAGATAGTAATACCTTTCCAAAGCGGACTTCTCAAACTCAGTGAAGACACCAAGGACTGGGAGTAAGGAGCGTATTTTTATCCTGAGTCAACATGGACTCACATAATACGCATAGCTGGTGGAGCACTGGCCTCCTTGTCTCCTGCAGCCTGGAGGTGCCAGAGAGCCTCACACTCAGCATGCCAACACCACGCAAATGGCTGGCACCTCGCGGAAAGATCTTGGGACGGACGCTGTGCATGATTCCTTTGCAGGGCAGCAAAGCGGCCACATCAGAAACATGTCGGGATGCAGTGCTAGGCATGCTGCTGGGGTGACAGGATATGCAAACATGGTGACGAAGGTCTGGATTGGAGGTGGTCATCTTGATCACATGGGCCGCAACAGCTCCGACAACTTGTTGGAAATCAGAGGATAAACTGTGCATTTCACTATCCCTGGAACCTGGCAAAGACAAGCTTCTGGAAGGCTCTGGCCGCACATCTTCAGCCGCCATTGCTTCAATCTTGGGCTTAAGATCTAGTAGCTGCCTTTGTTGGCGTGCACTGAATACTCTGGCTGCCTGAGTTCAAATGTGCATTCTTCTACCTGCCAAGCCTCATGCGGTCCGAAGCGACTTGCCAACTGACTTCATTGTTGTAAGCTGAGGCTTGGGATCGCTACTGCTCGCAACCGAATGCAGAGGCAGGGTCCATATGCAGGGTCAAGAACTGGGAAGAAATCCTGCTTGGATCTGCTTGGTGTATCTGATCAGGACAGCAAACTTTCGGGTTTGAGCGTCCATGCGCAGAGGCTCAGGCTTGTCCATGCGCAGAGGCTCGGGCTTAGGGCTTGGGCCATGCTCTGCCACTGCCAATCCTGCTGTGCACTTGCACTGCACACCTTCAAGACAAAGCGTTCTGGGCCTGGGATCTCCAAACACCTCTTGATTGGTTGTCTACTACAACCCTCAACTCCTTGCCTAAGACTCTTGCCAAGTAGCCTCTCGCATTGAGGCAAAGGCAAATGTAGGTCATCACAAGCCCCTAGGGTTTCGAAAGCCCTTCTTCGGATGTTTCTCCTTTTGCGGACTGGGCGGCCCAAGGATGCGGAGAGTAACCCAGCTCCTGCATCGTCTGCAGAGAATGGAATGGATGTATCCCAAACTGAAAACAGTTGCCTTGAATGAAGGAAGTCCTGAACCCACAGTGGGCCTGAGCATCCGTCAATGTACCAGATCTTGCAAACAGCAAAAAATGCAAATATGAACAAGGACTCCAGTGGGAAACTGAAAAAATATGCAAATATGATTACAGTAAGGGCTCCAGTCGGAAATCTCCTCCAGACGCAAATTTAAGGAGCTCCGAGTCCTTTTATCCAACACTTGGCTGCAAAGGCTTCATACCTGCTTGGCCCACGCCGCTCTAAGAAATAGCCTCTCTTGATGACCAGTAAAAACATCCACAACCC